GAATACACTTTTGGCTTTAGAAAGCGCCACAAAAAATTATCGCATGACGTGAGGTCGGGTGACCTAGGAGGCCAGTGAATGTCTCCAAACTTCGATATAACTTTCTGCGGAAAAAGTAGGTGTAGGGCCAGGAATGGGTTGACTCCGCTTCACGGAACTTTTTGATCCACTTCTTCAATAGGTTCTTACTTAGGGCATCTTTTAGTCATCGAATGTTGTATCGTGTACAAAATTTCCTAAGGACAGCAGCGTATGAGCCACTACTATCAAAGTTAGCCTCGATAGCAAAAGCACGTTGCGCTCCGGTCCGACGTTCCATTGTGACTATTTAACCCGCACGCCGAACGCGTCGATCAAGACCTCTCCCCACTTCCTCGCGTATACGCTTGCCGCGTAATTCAAATTTGAAATGTGAAGTTTCCCATTGGGCATCCTGTAGTTCGCTTGTTGGCCCTACGCCATAAAAATAAAAATATATCGCAAGTGGGTTGGCTAATGAATTCCTCGCAAGACTATGATTAAAAATTGAACAATGAATTTCTATTGAAAGTTGCACTTTTAAGTTTAACAAATAAATTTGATACCAACCGAAAACGTGAAGCCTATAAAATATGGTAACGTTGGGATGTCTTTTTCTTGAAGTAACTATCGGGTTGGCAGGTATAAACAGGTGTGCTGATTAGGGTGTATACTAGATTTCATCCACTAAGCCCGTTTCTAATTTGGATCTTCTACTATGACGCATATCCGTATTTTCAAGATGGTCCACATGCCCAGCAATAGGTTGGATTCCGGAACGCCATCTAACAGGTGTACGAAGACAAATCGTAAAATAACACTCCCGCATCGCTCCGACTCGCCAGCGCAAACTGTACAAACTTTCTCTTTCCGGGGATTTGTAGCTCCGGTTTATCAATGATGCATCGCTATCCCGATGAAGCCGTAGAGAAGGGGTAATTCCAATTCTGTCGGACAAAATTGATATAAGCTATGACCTTGAACCTTTACGCCACCGAGTCGCCTATTTTGTTTCACACTAGTTTGGCTAGATTCCTAATGGGAGCAGGAAACTATAGAGGATATACAGGGTGTTCCAAAATCGATCCTCACAATCGAGAATGCTGCTTAGAAAGTTTCGGAATTCTGACGAGAGACAGAAAAATAGAATTTTTCCTAAATCGCTTTAATCTTTCCTGCTTTTATTATTATATTAACATTGTCACTTTTTCTCCTTTACTGGCATAATTAGAATGTTAATGTAGTATAGTAAGATGAAACTTTATAATACAGGGTGTTTCAGTTTATTGTTGCATAACTTTAAGATTCGATAGAACTTTTAAAATTAATGCATAAAGTCTCTATAAACATGGGTCGAAAAATGCGTGGCTTCCGAACTACAGGGTGTTTAAATTTATTTTCTAAAATAGTTTTTTTTAAATATTTCCAACAATATTTGATGTATAACAGTGAAAATTGGTATACAAGGGTTTTTTGGTACGACAAAACGAACCATGGGCATAGTTTTACTGTAGCCTCTAGAGGGCGCTCTCTACTGTACCTGTAGTGTATTAAAATGACCGAAAATTTTTTCTTAGTGCAATGTTTTGCTTTTTGAACGAAAAAACTGATTCTTCGCACTTTTCAACATAAAAAAGCTCTCTTGTGAATTCTCGGTATAGTTAGCCGATTTTGAGATATTTCGATTTTTAAGGTTCGATGCATTTTTTATTATTTATGATAACATAACGTTAAAAAGTCAGTATCTCGATAATTTTTAGAAGTAGGCTGTGCCTGCAAATGTTTTTGAAATTGAAAGCAGAATAAGGTTGAACGTCAATTAGTTGACAGTTAGTTTTGTTGTCTGTTGAAACCTGAAACGTTTTTTTGCAATTGTGAATGCACGAAATTTAGTTCCTTTTACCTGTTTTTTTTGTAAGTTTTATAAAAATCATCATATTTGGTCGCATGAAAATCCGCATGCAGTTCGGGAAAGAAATTTTTAGCATGATTTTAGTGTGAACGTGTGGATTGGTATCTACCGTAATCGACTATTTGGACCCTACCTTTTGCCTGCAAGGTTAAATGCTGCGACCTTCTTGGAATTTTTAAAGGCTGAACATGCAAATATGTAGGATGATGTTATGTTAGATTTAAGAAGATTGGCCTGGTTCCAGCTTGATGGTTGTCCAGCTCATTATTCGAGAATAGTTAGAAACTGGCTGGACGAAAATTATCCAGAAGGACCAGTCGCCTGGCCTCCACGATCCCCTGACCTAAATCCATTAGATTTCTATGTGTGGGGATTTCTAAAAGAATAAGTGTACCAGACTCCCGTAACCACAAGAGATATGCTAATAGACAGAATCAGGAATGCATGTGATGAAATAAGGCCTTATTTGAATAATGCTATACCACGTTCGATCATTCGTAGATGTGAATTGTGTATTGAACAATTGGGTTTACATTTCGAGCAACTACTTTAGATTTTGTATGTTTGTCCTAACTATCCAATAGCATTTTAGTTGTAAATAATTAATTTAATTTGTTAAAAATAATATTGGAAATATTGGAAAATTAATATTGTTTTTTTGTGTTTATTTGGAGTTAGGAATTATTGCTGTGTTTAAAAACACAATCTAAACGATCATCTTAATTACTTGTAATCCCAAATCTAAAATGTAAAAAAAATATTATTTTCCCATAAATAATTAAAAATGCATCGAACCTTAAAAATCGAAATACCTCAAAAACGGCTAACTATAACGAAAACTCATAGGAGAGCTTTTTTATGCAGAAATGCGCGAAGAATCAGTTTTTTTATCCAAAAAGCAAATAATTGCACTAAGAAAAAATGTTCGGTCATTTTAATACACTACAGGTACAGTAGAGAGCGCCCTCTAGCGGCGACAGTAAAATTATGCCCATGGTTCGTTTTGTCGTACCAAAAAACCCTTGTATACCAATTTTCACTGTTATACATCAAATATTGTTCGAAATATTAAAAAAAAACTATTTTAAAAAGTAAATTTAAACACCCTGTATTTCGGAAGCCACGCATTTTTCGACCCATGTTTATATAAACTTTACGCATTAATTTTAAAAGTTCTATCGAATCTTAAAGTTATGCAATAAACTGAAACACCCTGTATATTGTTATTAGACACTTGTTAGGTATTGCAAGTAATATAATTCACCGGAAATGCTGCGCTAGGCAGAGGCATCTCCTCGCATTTTTTCCCGTCCAAAAACACAAAGCGAATTACGGAACGATACTGCTCTTTTTCCATCTTAGCGAAAATCACGAATCACGTGTTACTCGACTGGCTGCCAGATCCAAACTAACCTATCAATCAGACTGAAATTTGTTGTACCGTCGCTTGATAGATGGCAGCACACGATGATAACATCAACTTCCCTCAGAAACGCCCTCTGTACGGGTACTTATTGAACCGCCCTCGTATGTGTGTTACATTCGACAACTCGCCTTGGTAGTACCACCTTTTGGGAGTCTATTGTAATACTCGTCATCACGTGTCTCTGAATTTTTAGCAAAAAACAAAACTTTGAAAATATCTTGAATCTTGAATATTTGTTAAATGAAAAAAATTACGTCCACCCTGTATACAAAGATATATAAAAAATACTAATTCAACTAGTAACTACTAAAAGGTAGCGCTAGTTTTTGATTGACACAATGCGATCCATGGCCTTGAATGCTTACGAATTTGCTCCGCTGTGTAGTCAATTGGGGTTACCTTTGCGCCTACAATGTTTCACACTCTTGTCACAGAGCTGGTAATCTGCATAAATACGTCGAAGATGATAGGTCAGTAGATGTCGGTATTAATTACAGGATCGTGGAACTATAGACACGTAATTGGAGTTTCCAATACATTAGTGCAGCTTATCTAAGCGAACATGGCGCTGTTGCTCGAAGTATGATTCATATTGGATTAGGAGTATGCGGAGTATTCTGATGCGAATACTCAATTTGCTCCTGACATATTCTCACATTTAACATTCAACTGACACCATAATTGTACGAAAACTGAATGCTCCTTTATCACCAAACAATACACGTGGCCACCATAGAAAGTTAACAGAAAAACCTGACCATTTTATTACTTGTTGTTCATGGCAAGATAAATCGATGTATAAAAAATTCTTGTATTCTAATAAACATATGTAGGTATTTATCCGGCGCCCCCTGTAATCCGACATGTCTTTGAATTTGTATTACATACATGCGTATTTGACAATCTTCGCTAATGTAGATCACGCAGGTTTGAACAGGTTACAACTTGTACGCGCCACCGCTATCGTGCTCGACGCGTAAGCATTGTTTTACTTAGTTTGAATTTGACTACTGGTTATTCATTGTGTATTAGTAGTTAGTAATGTCATCACAAACTCAGAAGCGAAAGCACAAAACATTAACAATTAAAGAAAAATGTGATGTTTTAGACCGCTTAAATCACAATGAAACTTTCAGTAGCTTAACAAGTGAATACGGCATAGGCCGATCTACAATTTATGACATTAAAAGAAACCACGAGAAGATCAAGAGGTTCGTGTCAACTACTTACTGCGGGCCAGGCAAGAGACAGACGCTCAAGAAAGCTGAACACCCAGAAGTGTAAGAAGCTTTGTACATGTGGTTTCTTCAGGAAAGAAAGAGGCATGCACCAATTTCAGGAACCATGTTGGCCATGAAAGCTAAGTTTTTTTATAAGGAAATAACAAAAAAAGATGATTTTGTGGCCAGCAAAGGATGGCTAGAACGTTTTAAAAGTCGTCATGGCATAGGTTTAATGACTATTACAGGAGAGAAACTTTCTGACGATGCCACCTGCATGTGATGCCTAACAAAAGTTTCGTTTCTTTAGACATTTATTATCATTATTATTATTACTATTATTATTGTTTCAAATACTGCTAAGATGAATTCGTCATCACAGGATTGGGTTGGAGACTTACCTAATTTGGTATGAGAAACAGACTTACACAGATTCTATATTTATTAATCAAAACATTTTACATAAATATGAAATTGAACACATAATTTTCCTGATTAATTCATAGAATGGATATCTACGTCCCTCTTTCTCTAGTAGCGGAAGATCGTGCATCTTTGCGCGGTCTGATCAACACTCTAAGGAAAAAAATATAGGATATCATTTAAAAAACTAATAATACAAATGGATTCTCACCTAGATTTTTTCAAGCTGTACTCAGGTCCTCTAAATGTGCCCCAATACATGCCCTTATAGATAAAGTTGTCCGGGACTTCTCCGGTGAAGTACAGCCCATTTAGGTTGCTCGAGTCACAACTCTTGTACCACCAAGCACCACCTGAAAACCAAATCTCTTGATACTGGTAACAATAATAATAGCGAGTCATAATAAGAAAAAACATTAATAGATTTTTTTAAGTTTTCATAATTGACTAGCCTCAACTAGTAATAGTTTTTCTTGCGACACCCTGTATTTTTAAATACAGCCCCGTTAGCGTTGACTTGTAGGTATAGTCAAAATCACGAAAGATGACTGCTACGTCATACCATAAATTGTACTGAAGTAATCAATGGACGTACGTCGATGAGAAAATAACGATATCATTAATTTATATTATGATTTTGCCAAGTTTGTTTATTTCACTGATTATTAATTAACAATAATTTTAGTGGGGAGTTTTTGTTTTGAAAAAAGTTATGAGTAGAATACAGCTCAAGACATTAACACCAAAGACCAGAGTATTATTCGAAAACAACCTAACCCGATTTCACATAACCTATAATTATTCATCTTTCAAATATGATCGATCAAGCAACATGAAAACATCGTCTATCTTTGTCGGATATATGCAAATTAGCAATACAGTTTGTTTAGACAATAACATTCTGTTTGTCTCTGTCTAACATATTTGAAACTTCATTAAAAATATTCACAAATCGCTGTCGTTTGTCTTTACTACAGACTACAATGATGAGGTAACCGTCATCTTTCGTGATTTCGACTATAACAGAATTTTTCAATACAATTCCAGGAAGTGTGATTAACTTGAAAATTTTCACATTGGTCAAGGTCAACGAATTTCTAATTGAATTTTATAGAAAATTTTATTTGTGAATTTTAAAAATAATTGAAAAATTCTGCTTACTCGTAGAAAATACTTTCAAGATTTGAAAATTTTGAAATCATTTTGGAAATTTTGAAATTCGGAAAGCATATCAAAAATCGCCCTTGATTATAAGTCGGTACTGTTATCGTTTTGGGACTAAAAATTCAGAAAATAAATTATAGCTTGAAAAAGTAAAAAACACGCTTTAACAGCAAATCGAACCAAACAGTGGAAAAGAAGTGAGGACAGTTTGTGTTACTATACTAAGTGACATATAAATCCGAACACCCAGTTTAAATGGTTTTATTTTAATAAAAGTTGGTGAATGTATTTATCTTACTGTAAATAACAAGTGAAAAAATTTTCAGCCTTATCAGTTGGACATTCCGGTTTTTATACTGCTTTTTTTTAATTCACTAACGCTCTAAAAATGAATATTTCAGCCGCAGTAAAGAATCAACGTTGGCGGATTTTGGTTTTTGACATCCTTTACGATCGGTTACGATGCCTAGAGTACGGAGACCTGTACGATTTCGTCAACTTAATGAGTTTGATAGGGGCCGTATAGTGGGACTTCGGTAAGCTGGACTTTCTTTTCGGGAAATTGCAGTTAGAGTGCAAAGAAGTGTAGACACTGTGGTTAGGTGTTGTCAGGCATTGCTTCGAGAAGGCCGTACGCAAAGAGCAAGCGGCACTGGACGCCGCCCTAGAACAACAGACCGTGAAGATCGCCGCCTAAGATTATTGGCCTTAAGGGACCGTTTCTCCACTACCAGGTCCATTGCAAATGAATGGTTTGCAGAACACGGAAGACCTATTGGCATGCGAAGTGTTTACCGACGAATGAGAAGTTTTGGCTTGTTTTCATACCGGCCACACTGGGTCTTCCCTTTAACTCGAGAACACCGACGTAATCGCCTTGAGTGGTGCAGACAACGGTCACTCTGGGATCAGGAATGGAACAATATTGTCTTTAGTGACGAGTCTCGATTTTGTTTAGGCATGCACGATGGTCGTTCCAGGGTTAGAAGGCGACGTGGTCAAAGGACGAATCCACAGTTTTTTATTGAAAGACATGTTCATCACACTGTTGGAGTTATGGTTTGGGGTGCTATAGCTTATGTTTCCAGGTCACCTTTAATCTTCATCAGAGGTAACATGAACGCGCAGCGTTATATCCACGAAGTTCTATAACCCCATCTTTTACCCTATCTTGACACCCTGGCAGTTCCAACTTTCCAACAAGATAATGCCCGACCACATGTTGCAAGAGTCACAATAGACTTCTTTCAACATAATGATGTCACATTGTTACCATGGCCACCAAGATCTCCCGACTTATCCCCAATTGAGCACGTGTGGGATATGATGGGTAGGAGATTGCTCAATTTGCAACGTCCTCCTCAGACTCTAGAAGCACTTCGAGAGGAGTTGGTGGTTGCCTGGAATGAGATACCACAGCAGGACATTGACCACCTGATCAGAAGCATGCCTAGGCGCGTTGGAGAATGCGTAGCACATCAGGGTTCATCCACACATTATTAAAGGTGAAAGGGCTTTAAAGCAGTGCAATCATTTTGAAATTTTTATCATTTACTTATTACGCTTCATTAAGTACTTATACAAAATTTTATTAAAATAAAACCATTTAAACTGGGTGTTCGGATTTATTTGTCACTTAGTATATTTTATTGACTTATTGCGTCCATAGTATTAAAGTTAGTGGAAAACCAAAATAGACGAGTCAGTTTTTCCAAGTAACTGAAAATGAGAACCGAACAACACAATTTTGCAAGTTCCAGATAACAGGCACTTGACTATTTTTTTTCGTTTTTCAACAATCATCGTAACTCTATTTCTGAGATTTCGTGTTTCTTTATATTTATACTGATCACTAGGCATATTTCTCACACTATGGTTGTTTTATCTTAAGAACGCAGCAAAAGATAACGAAAAGAGATCCAAATTGGACATTCTTGTTTTCCTTACTTTCTATATGCAAAACTTAGAAGACATCCCTCGTAAAAGTATTTATAATTGAAAAGGTACTGAGTGCTTACCATGTGCCCTAGCACAACTGCCTTCCGGCCAAACATCGTGATCCATGTCTTTGGTGCTGAATCTTTGACCAGCATGATACTCGAGGGAATCCCCGGCATTACCACGATATTGTCCCAAGACTTTCAGAGGAAAGCCTTCATTTTCAGGTCCGATACTGAATGCGGAATATTGAGCGTACCGTTTTTCACCTTCAAAGTCTTCCAATTCTATGAGCAGTTCATTGACAAGGTGACCTAAGGAACACATAATCGTATGTCATATTTACAAATTCAGAGAAATGTATTTTCCTCCAGGTCTTTCTTTCTTTTCAAACGCATACCCTTTAACTTTGTCAATACCATTGCAAGAAAATTCATCTTCAGATGTGTTGAAAGCATACGAAGTTTATTTTGGAATTAACGTTGGCGACCAGGATTAACTATGGGCCCCTCGTATGTGTTGTAAGACTTGTGTAACGTTGTTAACAGGTTGGTTAGGAGGCGACAATCGTAAAATGCCCTTTGCGGGCCAATGGTTTAGAGAGAACCGGGAGACCATACTATTGATTGCTATTTTTGCCTAACAAATATTAAAGATATATAGTGATGAACTTTCTGTCCCAGTTCCACCAGAATCTCGGTCTTTGGATGAAAAAGTCGAATCCACCGATTCTGAAAGTGATAGTACAGAAAGCGTAAACATTTACGATCGTTCGTTTGACCTGTCAGGATGTTCAACAGCGCCGCATTTGATCACACAAGGCGAACTTAATGACTTAGTTCGAGAATTAAATCTGTCAAAATCACAGCCAAAGAGAGTCCATCAGTCCACGGTAAACGGTGCATCCCATACTTTCTGGCCTGACGGATACATTTTTCTTTGTCTTTGCTTGCCCTGCTGATACACCGTAGTATCCAAAACATCTTAGCAACACAGCTTTTCATAATTCTTAAATCCGTGGGTCACCTTGTATAGTAGGTCACCCAGAACACAGCACGTTTTTTGTTGACCTGTTTAATGCTTACCCGTAAGTTCGTAGATATGATCTAACCCCAACCAGAACTCCTTTCCAATGTTGCCAAAACCTGTTTTGTAATCAGCCCAGCCTAGAAAGAAGTCCTGAGAACCATTAAATCTGCTTTGAATGACTGTCCAACCTCCGTCGTTCATTTCCATATCGCAAAACACCATAAATGGTTTTGAGGAATATCCTGGCTGGATTGTGTAGATTCCAGACGATGACGTTCCTAGAAGAATTAATATCAATATTGAAATAGGCCTCACCGAAAAGGTTTCTATGATGACCAAAAATGTTTACTGGGTTGCATCATATTACATCTAGCTCATAGAAATAACGTATATCTTAAAAGTTTTGGCAACAAATTCATTGGCTTTAATTTTAACAAACGCAAAATAATATCGTTACCTTTGGAAACAAAAGTTTGTTTGCTTACTTTATTATTGTCAGTTGACGTTTGTTTATTTTAAAGTTTTCGCTTTAAGATGTATCACTTAGAAACAGGTTGGCCGGTTACCTAAAGCTGATATCTGAATATTCCATGAATGAAAACATTTCACGCAGAACCATTTATAACAATAGCGGAGTGCGAGCAGGGAATACCATGTCCGAATCTCCTAAAAAGTGGAAGACCACGTGCACCCAAAGCTGGCTTCAACAACACAACATACCCTTCCATCCTTCAAACTTGCCGCAGGCTCGCTCAATAGAGGATTTTTGGGATTTAAAGGTTTATCATGGAGGCTGGGAAGCCAAAGATGAAGAACAACTAAGACAGCTACTTTAGGAAAAGCTGCGAGAAATGGATCTGAATTCCGTCCAGGACCTCATGAGAGACTCACTCCACTCTCAGAATGTCCGGGTGGAGGGTGGGCTCGAGGGAACAACATCGAAGATAAAATTTGTTTTTCGAACATCTGCGGGATCAACAGCAACATTGATGCTGTTCATCACTACCTGCAATCCAATCGTCCCGCCGTGCTTTTCTTGGCGGAGACAAAAATCTCAGAGACTGCACCGATTAACCATCTCAACTTCTCAAACTACGAGGTGCACTCCAATCTGAGAAAGAACGGGGGAGTTGTGGCTTTTGTCCGCAGCAGTCTTTCCTACTCCAGGGATCTTTCTTTGGAAACAGACCGGAAGGACATTCTGTGGCTTCGCCTCAACTCCAAAACATCACCCAAATTTATTTGCTGCCTTTATCGCTCTGGGATGACATACTCGAATACCTCGCCGTCCAGATCGACTTCCTGAACATCAATCACCCCGCTTCAGAGGTAGTTCTTCTCGGTGATTTCAATGCCCATAATGAGCTTTGGTTGGGCTCAAATAAGACCGATGCAGCAGGTCGTGCAGTCGAAGCGTTCGCTCTTACTCAAGGGCTGACCCATCTGGTGACGAGCCCTACTTTTTTCCCCCGCGTCTCGTCACACGCCAGTAGCCTGCTGGATCTCTTTCTGACCACTCATCCTGCCCCTTACAGCACTGCTGTCCGGTCCCCCCTGGGTAACTCAGATCACGGTGTTGTGGAGGTTAGGTTTCGGTCAGAAGCCGCTGTGGCAGCAGAAACTCGCACAGGCCGCAAAACTTGGCATTACGGACATGCCGACTGGGAGGGGCTCAAAGACTTCTTCTCTAGCTTTCCTTGGAGAGATGTCTGTTTCACTGACGCGGATGCGTCGACTGCCTGTTCTTCAATAACCGAAATTATCCACGTCGGAATGGAGGAATACATCCCTCACACAGTGAGAGTTCCTAAACCAGGGTCCAACGGCTGGTTCAACAAATCGTGTGACACTGCTCGCCAGCAGAAGATCAAGGCTCACAGAACCTACTTACAAAACCCCACTGTAGAGAACAGACAAGCCGACGTCGAGTCCAGAAACAAATATAACGAAGCGGTTCGCAATGCCAAAACCCAGCATGATATAAAAGTTAGGCACAGGGTAATGTCGCAGAGCAATGGCAGTCGGTCTTTCTGGACGCTGGCCAAGCAGATTGAAAAGAACTTCTCACACAGTAGCCTTCCACCACTTACGTGTCAGGATGGAACTATTGTATTCGACTCAAAGGTCAAGGCGGAAGTGCTAGCCAAGATCTTTGCTGCCTTTACAGGCCTATAGCTCTGTTTTCTGTTATAAGTAAAGTGATGGAGAGGTGCATAAATCGCGAGCTTCTGGACTACCTCGAACGTCACAGCTTGATTAGCGACAGGCACTATGGTTTCCGGCACCAACGATCCACAGGGGACCTCCTAGCTTACGTCATGCAACTGTGGAGTAAACTCATCCAGTCTCATGGTGAGGCTCATGTCGTTGCTCTTGACATCACGAAAGCGTTCGATCAGCTGTGGCACGCTGCCCTCTTGAGCAAACTTCCATCCTACGGCCTCCCAGAAAAGCTTTGCAGATGGTCGGCTGACTTTATCTCTGGCCGCAAGATATCCGTCGTAATTGACGGATTCTCCTCTTCATCCCACAACGTCAACGCGGGTGTTCCCCAGGGATCGGTCTTGGCTCCAACACTGTTTCTCTTACATATCAACGACCTCCTTTCCTGCACGATCAACCCAATCCACAGCTTCGCTGATGACAGCACTCTACATGCAGGAATTCAGAGTGACAAGCCGATCTCTGCCGCTGAGCTGGAAAAAAGAAGACTAGCGACGACTTCTTCTCTGTCAAGAGACCTGGAGGCTATCACTGCTTGGGGACGCAACAATCTTGTACAGTTCAATGCTTCCAAAACACAGTACTGTACTTTGACGAACAAAAAGCGTCCTAGCGCTCATACAGTTTCGATGGACGGTCGAGTTCTACCAAAGAGCCATTCATTTCGGCTGGTCGGAGTCCAGATCACCGAGGACCTGATCTGGCACGAACACATCTCTTCAATAGCTGCAGCTGCTGGGAAAAAGCTAGGCTATTTGTTTAGGGCTAAGAAGTACTTTTCTCCGCATGACCTTCTCACTCTATACAAGGCCCAGATAAGGCCCAGCCTCGAGTATTGCTCACACATTTGGGGTGCTGCCGCCCCGATTACATTGTCCATGCTCGATGCTCTCCAGAGGAGGGCGGTCCGACTGATCGATGACTCTTCTCTAACAGACAGTCTCGGGACTCTTTCGCACCGGCGGGCCGTCGGCGATCTAGCTCTTTTCTATCGCTACACCGACGGGCTTTGCTCCTCAGAGCTCTCTTCCATGATGCCGCCGCGCGATGTGCCTGCCAGACAGACCCGCCAGACTTCGGCGTCCCATCCTAACCGTGTCAAACTTCGTACATCCAGAACTGGCCGATACGACCGCTCCTTTGTCCCGAGGGTGTCTAGATTGTGGAACAATCTACGGGAGGAAGCTTTACCCTGTTCTACTAACCTTAGGCAGTTCAAAAATCGTATTAACAAAATTTCTTTGGGATCATCATAGCAGCCGCGGTGTTCCGGCATTTAGGCTTCTGCCTGCGCGGCTGTTTCGATATAAAAAAAAAAAAGAAAAAAAAATTTTTGAAGAAAGTTGTGTCTGGTAAAGCAGAATGGGCCGCGCCCCATAATTCGATTCGATAGTTTAGTGAGGTATTGAGTTGTAATTTATGATAACCAGTTAGTGTTTAAATAAATTCCGATAGATATTCTGTGCCAAAACTTTTAGGACTCTAGATTTGAAATGGTTTGTCGTAAATCGTCAAACGACCAACCGGTCTTAAAATATTCCAAATTATCGTCCCTTGAGTGTTTCTCCCGTCAAAAAAATAGAGTCAATCATACCTTTGTTCCTGATATCCATACAGTCCGTTGGATTAACTGGTTGACATGACTCTTGTTGCGAAGCAGTCATCTGATGACTCACAGGTGGGTAATACGTGCCGTGCCTAATGTCTAGTAGCGCTTGAGAAATAAACCGTTTGGTTGGTAAGTCAGTCATTTCGTCATGAAGTGCCCTGTAAAAAAACTTTAAAACTTATCAAGGAAAGGGGGTGGATAGTTAACAAAATCAAAACGTTTAGCGTTCCTCGCCATTGTTTTTGTTTAAAGGTGCCTTCTAGTTCAGGGTATATCACCATGCAACTAAATCTCAACCAGAATTATTTATTGAATTTTGATAAAAAACTATACGCTGATCAAATGTTGAAGGCATTTCGACTAAAGGCTTTTTTGTCTTATCAGGATCCGCACAATATGAACATTTTTACTTAATATTCAGTGATTTTTCTGTGCTGGTTCCATTTGTTTCATTGTCGTTTCATTGCATTGTCACGCATAGTTCGCAGACGTGCTAATTTCACTTAACGTTATTTGAGACATCTATCACTTACAGCTCAATTATTCACAACAAAGGCAGTTGCGAACCAGTGATTTGATGCTGTCGGGAGGGCAATAAAAATGATGACAGTTTATCGCCGAATAAGGCCTTTTGGAGTGTTTTCATACTGTTCCCATCTTGTACTACCTCTGACCTCACAGCATCGTTGGCAACTATTGGTACATCGTGTTCAGCGATTAGTCCAGATTCTGTTTGGGCACGCAATACTAACGAGGAGACGTGGTGAAAGACGAAACGCTCAATATTCCATCGAGCGGCATATTCATCGCACTGCGGTTGTTATGGTATGGGGTGCCATTGCTTACGGCAGCACGTCACGATTAGTGTTCATTCGAGATGGCATGACTTACAACCACATCTGCTGCTCTTTTTGGAAACATTGCAAAATCCACTTTTTCAGCAGGACAGTGCACGACCTCATCTCGCACGTTTTAGATTAGATTTTTTGTCTGCATCAGCGGCCTCCTTGATCTCCAGATCATTCTCCTATCTTGTAGTACCTCTGATCTCACAGCATAGTTGGCAACTATTGGTACATAGTGTTCAGCGATGAGTCCAGATTTTGTTTGGGCACGCAAGAGTAACGAGGAGACGTGGTGAAAGACGGAACGCTCAATATTCCATCGAACGGCATATCCATCGCACTGCGGGTGTTATGGTATGGGGTGTCAGCAGGTCACGATTAGTGTTCATTCGAGATGGCATGACTTACAACCGCATCTGCTGCTCTTTTTGGAAACATTGCAAAATCCACTTTTTCAGCAGGACAGTGCACGACATCATGTCGCACGTCTTAGATTAGACTTTTTGTCTGCATCAGCGGCCTCCTTGATCTCCAGACCTTTCCCCTATCTTGTACTACCTCTGACCTCACAGCATCGTTGGCAACTATTGCTACATCGTGTTCAGCGATGAGTCCAGATTCTGTTTGGGCACGCTAGAGTAACGACAAGACGTGGTGAAAGACGGAACGCTCAATATTCCATAGAACGGCATATTCATCGCACTGCGAGTGTTATGGTATGGGGTGCCAGCAGGTCACGATTAGTGTTCATTCGAGATGGCATGACTTACAACCACATCTGCTGCTCTTTTTGGAAACATTACAAAATCTACTTTTTCAGCAGGACAGTGCACGACCTCATGTCGCACGTCTTAGATTAGACTTTTTGTCTGCATCAGCGGCCTCCTTGATCTCCAGACCTTTACCCTACCTTGTACTACCTCTGACCTCACAGCATCGTTGGCAACTATTGGTACATCGTGTTCAGCGATGAGTCGAGATTCTGTTTGGGCACGCAAGAGTAACGAGGAGACGTGGTGAAAGACGGAACGCTCAATATTCCATCGAACGGCATATTCATCGCACTGCGGGTGTTATGGTATGGGGTGCCATTGCTTACAGCAGCAGGTCACGATTAATGTTCATTCGAGATGGCATTACCGCATCTGCTGCTCTTTTTGGAAACATTGCAAAATCCACTTTTTCAGCAGGACAGTGCACGACCTCATGTCGCACGTTTTAGATTAGACTTTTTGTCTGCATCAGCGGCCTCCTTGATCTCCAGACCTTTCCCCTATCTTGTACTACCTCTGAGCTCACAGCATCGTTGGCAACTATTGGTACATCGTGTTCAGCGATGATTCCAGATTCTGTTTGGGCACGCTAGAGTAACGACAAGACGTAGTGAAAGACGGAACGCTCAATATTCCGTCGAACGGCATATTCATCGCACTGCGAGTGTTATGGTATGGGGTGCCAGCAGGTCACGATTAGTGTTCATTCGAGATGGCATGACTTACAACCACATCTGCTGCTCTTTTTGGAAACATTGCAAAATCCACTTTTTCAGCAGGAGAGTGCACGACCTCATGTAGCACGTCTTAGATTAGACTTTTTGTCTGGATCAGCGGCCTCCTTGATCTCCAGACCTTTCCCCTATCTTGTACTACCTCTGACCTCACAGGATCGTTGGCAACTATTGGTACATCGTGTTCAGCGATGAGTCCAGATTCTGTTTGGGCACGCAAGAGTAACGAGGAAACGTGGTGAAAGACGGAACGCTCAACATTCCATCGAACGGCATATTCATCGCACTGCGGGTGTTATGGTATGGGGTGACATTGCTTACGGCAGCAGGTCACGATTAGTATTCATTAGAGATGGCATGATTTACAACCACATCTGCTGCTCTTTTTGGAAACATTGCAAAATCCGCTTTTTCAGCAGGACAGTGCACGACCTCATGTCGCATGTCTTAGATTAGACTTTTTGTGTGCATGAGCGGCCTCCTTGATCTCCAGACCTTTCCCCTATCTTGTACTACCTCTGACCTCACAGCATCGTTGGCAACTATTGGTACATCGTGTTCAGCGATGAGTCCACATTCTGTTTGGGCACGCAAGAGTAACGAGGAGACGACAATATTCCATCGAACGGCATATTCATCGCATTGCGGTTGTTATGGTATGGGGTGCCATTTCTTACGGCAGCAGGTCACGATTAGTGTTCATTCGAGATGGCATGACTTACAACCACATCTGCTGCTCTTTTTAGAAACATTGCAAAATCCACCCTTTCAGCAGGACAGTGCACGGCCTCATGTCGCGCGTCTTAGATTAGACTTTTTGTCTGCATCAGCGTCCTCCTTGATCTCCAGACCTTTCCCCTATCTTGTACTACCTCTCATCTCACAGCATCGTTGGCAACTATTGGCACATCGTGTTCAGCGATGAGTCCAGATTCTGTTTGGGCACGCTAGAGTAACGAGGAGACGTGGTGAAAGACGGAACGCTCAATATTCCATCTAACGGCATATTCATCGCACTGCGGGTGTTATGGTATGGGGTGCCATCGCTTACAACAGCAGGTCACGATAAGTGTTCATTCGAGATAGCATGACTTACAACCGCATCTTCTGCTCTTTTTGGAAACGGCAAAGTCCACTTTTTCAGCAGGACAGTGCACGACCTCATGTCGCACGTCTTAGATTAGACTTTTTGTCTGCATCAGCGGTCTCCTTGATCTCCAGACCTTTCCCCTATCTTGTACTACCTCTGACCTCACAGCATCGTTGGCAACTATTGGTACACCGTGTTCAGCGATGAGTCCAGATTCTGTTTGGGCACGCAAGAGTAACGAGGAGACGTGGTGAAAGACGTAACGCTCAATATTTCATCGAACGGCATATTAATCGCATTGCAGGTGTTATGGTATGGGGTGCCATTGCTTACGGCAGCAGGTCACGATTAGTGTTCATTAGAGATTGCATGACTTACAACCACATCTGCTGCTCTTTTTGGAAACATTGCAAAATCCACTTTTTCAGCAGGACAGTACACGACCTCATGTCGCACGTCTTAGATTGAGCTTTTTGTCTGCATCAGCGGCCTCCTTGATCTCCAGACCTTTCCCCTATCTTGAACTACCTCTGACCTCACAGCATCGTTGGCAACTATTGGTATATCGTGTTCAGCGATAAGTCGAGATTCTGTTTGGGCACGCAAGGGTAACGAGGAGACGTGGTGAAAGACGGAACGCTCAATATTCTATCGAGCGGCATATTCATCGCACTGCGGTTGTTATGGTATGGGGTGCCATTGCTTACGGCAGCAGGTCACGATAAGTGTTAATTAGAGATGGCATGACTTACAACCACATCTGCTGCTCTTTCTCTTTTTGGAAACATTGCAAAATCCACTTTTTCAGCAGGACAGTGCACGACCTCATGCCGCACGTCTTAGATTAGACTTTTCGTCTGCATCAGCGGCCTCCTTGATCTCCATACCTTTCCCCTATCTTGTACTACCTCTGACCTCACAGCATCGTTGGCAACTATTGGTACATCGTGTTGAGCGATGAGTCCAGATTCTGTTTGGGCACGGAAGAGTAACGAGGAGACGTGGTGAAAGACGGAACGCTCAATATTCCATCGAGCGGCATATTCATCGCACTGCGGTTGTTATGGTATGGGGTGCCATTGCTTACGGCAGCAGGTCACGATTAGTGTTCATTCGAGTTGGCATGACGTACAACCACATCTGCTGCTCTTTTTTGGAAACATTGCAAAAATCCACTTTTTCAGCAGGACAGTGCACGACCTCATATCGCACGTCTTAGATTAGACTTTTTGTCTGCATCCGCGGTCTCCTTGATCTCCAGACCTTTCCCCTATCTTGTACTACCTCTGATCTCACAGCATCGTTGGCAACTATTGGTACATCGTGTTCAGCGATGAGTCCAGATTCTGTTTGGGCACGCAAGAGTAACGAAGAGACGTGGTAGTAGTAGTATATCAAAAAATACAAATTAATGATTGACAAGCGTCGAACTGAAATTCTATTTATTCCATTTTGTAGAGGAGAAAAAGCGGCAATGTTGATGCACTTTTTATTGCCCGCTGTCTAAAGCAGCGTTCTCACGAGTCGATTTTGTTGATCAATGTATGTTGATCAACTCAAATCGAAACGAATATTTGTTCACACACATAATAAAAATTGACGCGCTAGTTGTTTCTAAAATGGCTGCCAAGAAGTTTTCCCAGCAGGCATAGCAGCTATTTACGAATCATTAGATTTTGTCAAAATTTGACAGAAAATCTAGAAAACGTCGATTTTGGGTCAGGACTTGGAAGAAATAAATTGGGCGTTTCAGGAACCCTGCTCAAGGAGCTGGCTTTGGAGGACAAGGATGCCTACAACGATCATTTGAGAATGCCCGAAGAACAATTTATAGGACTTCTACTAAAGATAAAAAGCCAAATACAAAAACAAGATACCATTATGAGAAGATCTACTTTCTCCATTTCTTTTGCGATGATAGTTAAAGCGTTGTCTCGAGCATCCTTGTTTCGATAACTCTTTCGATAACATTCTACTAAAATCGACTCGTGAGAACGCTGCTTAAGTTACCTAAATGCACAATAAGGTTAACTACTTAAGTGTCTTCGTATCTCTTAGCGTTTCCGGTATCCCGATGGTGAGTGTCGAACTTGAAACGCCCGGTATATGCATGAGATAAACTGTACTGAATTATCGATTGTATATTGTTACTCTGCTACTACTAATAATAGTTCTTATATAACGCCACGCCAGGCCTTGGACGTTGAAGGAAGAATAGCGATTGCCAATATTTATCATCATTCTTCAGCTGTACCTCTCCATATGTCTGTATTTGTAAACACTTTTTGCCGCAAGGTACTTAGCATATCAATTTGACTAGGAATTCGCCGATAATTTATTAGTTCGGCATCCCGTTCACCACAAAAATGTAAGCTTTTTTTGTTAACTTGAACCCGTGGTCGCCAACATTTTCAGTGTGTTGAGCTACTTTGATAATTTTCGAATAAGTTAAGTTTTAAGTTTTGTTCCCAAAACTCAATCTTTTTGATAAACGCTTTTATATCAGAAATCATACCTGCTAGTTCTTTGTCTCTCGCCTGAAGCTGCAAATTAAGTTTTTTTAATTTTTCTGTAATATCCACAAGAAAACCAAAATCTCCAAGTCAGATTGAATTTTCCAATTCCGGAACAGAATAGAAGAAAACAAAATTTTGGTAGAGGCGCAAGCAGGCTGTCGAAAAAATATAACGGCTTTCCAGTTGGTAATTGAGAATTGGAGAAGAGCCATAGACTCAGAAGAAGTTGTCATAGCAGTATTTTTGGATTTGAAGAGGGCATTTGAAACGATTGGTAGAGATATTTTGTTAGGTAAATTGAGGGCATATGGTATATCAGGAAGTGTTTTAGATTGGTTTAGGAATTATTTGTCTTAAAGGATGCAAATTACAAAAGCTAATGACACTATTTCGTCAAAAATTGAAAATACGTTGGGTGTTCCACAGGGCAGTATCCTGGGACCACTTCATTTTATTTTATACATAAATAATTTACCTGCCATAGTCAAAAAATGCAAAATTCAGATTTTCGCCGATGACACTATGATTTATATAAGTACTAATGATATTCAGACTGCTATCTCTTATATAAATTAAGACTTGAAACTTGTCTCAAAATGGTTAGCATCTAACAGACTAAAATTAAATACAAGTAAAACGAAAGCTATGTTAATCGGAAAAAAAACAATGTTCAAATGTTCATTAATTTTTGATATTCATTATGAAAAAGTTATAAATAAGATTAGTAGTAAAGTGGAATATTTATCGAGACTTTCTGGATGTCTGAGTTCATATAGCAAAAAAATTATCTATAATACCATCATTCTTCCAAATTTCTTGTACTGTTCGACTATTCTATATTTAGCAAATAATTCCTTTTCTGAAAGACTGCAAATTTTACAGAATAAGTGCATGAGAATAATACTAAATGAAGATAAATATACTCCAATTAGGCAAATGCTTAGCAAATTAAAATGGCTCAATGTAAAAAATAAATATCTTGTAATGATATTCATTTATAAAGTAAAAAATAATATATTTCCATCAAGTCTAACTAATTTAACATCAATCAAATGTCGACCATCATGTACATAATACCAGAAATAAAGATGACTTCCATTTAATGACCAAAAAGTATAACATATGCTACAAATCTGTATTCCATCAAGGGTTGATTGAATATGATAAATTAAACACAGAGATAAAAGATCAGACAACTTTGACAAAATTTAAAGTAAAATTGAGAAATCACTTGTTAAATCTACAATTATAGGTTGCCCAGCATTTACATCATACATCATATGGCCTGAATTTACTAATTCTAATTTGTTTACAATTATTCTGTTTATGTAGCCAAATGTGCTAAATAAATATTTCTACTAATACTACTACTACTACTACCATAAGCTTTCTTCTTTAGTGTAATTATCTTGGACACCCGGTATGATGCTTCAGTTGTAGCCTTACTTTTAATATTTAATTAACTGATTTTTCAATTGTTCTAACAAATATACATTAATCTTTAATTTCTCTAAAGAAATATTGTTCTTCCCATTCGTAATGGAAATGGTATGTCTTAATATTCTTACTAGTGCTCATAATGTTTTCAATTGCAGGCCAACTCTAACCCCACCGCCGTTCAGATTTAAACTGAGCGCACCGTCGCCGCGCCTTGCATACTTATTCCGTTCAAAGTAATCGAGATCGTTCTCGAACAGATCGCTCACCGCAGTGTTGCCGCTGCTTGTGCTTATTATGAGAATTCAAAAAGCATAACGGAAGCTTCTACGATTTAGGCATCTTTTTAAAATATGTTGTGAGCCACCTGAATGGCCTATCGGTAGCTCGCGAGCGATGGGTTGGCGACCACTGATTTAGACGTATGCACGTCCTGTAATCGATTAATAATAACAAAGTTTGCATACCGCTTGACGTTGACTGAAAGCGGTTATTGTATACACACCCTGTGGCTGCCAGTATAGCCGATATATTTCTGCGAATACCAGCTACATCACCGGTCAGGCTTCTAAGTGCAGCTAGCACCACTTTTATGCTAATCTCCAGGTTGGCAATGCGGGCGGCTAGTTTGTCGCTTGGGGCGTCTCTTTGTTCGTCTTGCCAAACCTGTCCACCTGCGTTATTCATCTCGCTCCGAAGACCTTACAAAATGAGAGACTGAATATTATGTTATGCCTAATAAATGGAACTTCGTTCTTTACTTGCACATTATTGAGTTGTGGTGCGGAGCGGAGCGTTTTAGATAAATAAAATAATATTATTAATGATAATAATCTAAATTCGTAGCGTAGAAGGGCGTGTCCAGGGAATGCAAGGAGACAGTTGCCCTTCGAAGTTTTTATTTTGAGTCAGAAGCGTCAAATAATATTAATAAAATAAATAATATTAAGCTTTTCAAATTTTTTGATATGATTTGCAATTTTTTCTTTTCTTAATGATATGCGAATATTTAAGGGTGTGAATCTACATGGAAAATTAAGGTCAGTTTGGTTTAGAAACTATGGTCCAAAAATGTTTCCTTACAAAAACTCGGGCTGTTGAAGTTTTAGGAAAAAAATGGAAATTAATTAATATTTTCAGAAGCGCTTCAGATATTTCACTGATATTTAGTATGTAGTAAAAGTTGAGAATGTTGCATATTTATCGATGCAAAAATAATTTTTAGCTTCAACAGTGGCGTGGGTACGGGTATTGACTTCGATATTTTTTAAGAAAAAAATGGTACGCTAATGATTTTTTGTCAAATAAAAATAATTTTTGAATTTCCCGTTCAATTTAAAATAAATGATCTCTGTTGAATTGTCTTCCTTTGATGCGCCATTTTTGAGTAAACCCCTAATGTGTTTAATTTTTCCAATTACATTAATAATAATTTTGCAAGTTGGACAATAGAACGGTTTTTATTTTTTTATTCAAAGATGGCGCATCGAAGGAAAGCAGCTCGGACGAGATCATTTGTTTTAAATTGAACGGGGAATTTAAAAATAATTTTTATTTGACAAAAAACCATTGGCGTACTATTTTTTTTCTTAAAAAATGTCAAAGTCATTACCCGTACGCAAGCCACTGTTGAAGCTAAAAATTATTTTTGAATTGAAAAATATGCAACTTTATCAAATTTCACTACGTACTAAATATCAGTGAAACATCTGAAGCGGTTCTGATAATATTAATTAATTTCAATTTTTTTCCTAAAAGTTCAAGACCCCGAGTTTTTGTAAGGAAACATTTTTGGATCCTTAAATATTCGCATATCATCAACACCCTGTATACCTTTAAATATAAATGAAATAATTTATTCAAACTTGGCAATTACTTTTGCCTAAGCTGATTAAACAAATTTAATAAATATAATTGGTAAACTCATGAGTAATACCATAAGGACATCTAATTTAAAAAAAAAAAATACATAGTAAGTAGTAGTTGGAAGACTAGGATTTTCTTTAGTCTATTTCGAAAGTCCATTATTCCCACTGGAGTGTTTTTACACCATCCACTTGACTCTTCTTCGGTATTGTAATTTTTGGTGACAACAGCTGTCAAGTTTCGCCGCGGGTAAACTCAAAAGACGGCTGACAGGTGCTGTCATACAATTCCATCTAGAAACCGTTTGTAATTCAAAATTGCGCGTGTGTGATAGGTAGAAATTAGAACAAGGGATATACTCATTTAAATAGCGCATTATTGTCAATTACTTGGTGTACTCAATTTGGGTTATAAAACTAGTTTCATACCGGATGCGCCATCTTTTATGTCGGTATTGAAACATCGAATGACTGATATTTATCAACCGAGTGATTTGGTTATACGTGTTTCTGAAACGTCAATTTACTACAATTTTAGTCATGAATCGCTTTGCACCGAAACAACGCGCCGAAATAGTCACAATGTACATTGAAATCCTTGAAGTTATCCTTCGAGTTAGAGAATATTTCTACATGATATTTATTGTCATACGGTTCTAATGGACTTTGAGATATCTTTTCTGAGCGCACTGTCGCCGCGCCTTGCGTATTTATTCCGTTCTAGGTAATCGAGATCGTTCTCGAACAGATCGCTTACCACAGTGTTGCTGTTGCTTGTGTTTATGAGAATTTACGGAAGCTTCTACGGTTTTGACACCTTTTTAAAATATGTTGTGAGCCACCAGAATGGCCGTAGTTTTATACCGGATGCGCCACCTTTTATGTCTGTATTGAAACATCGAATGACTGTGATATTTATCAACCGAGTGATTTGGTTATACGTGTTTCTGAAACGTCAATTTACTACAATTTTAGTCATGAATCGCAGCAAAACGGGCACATTTTGTTTTGGCCAAGTGGCCACTTGGTAGATGTTGTGTTCAAAAACTAGTCCTAATAAATTGTAAAGGACCATATTTAATAAAAACACCCGATATATCGAAATCAGTTTTTCGTTTTCAAAGTTATTTCATGTTTACATACCGACATAAAAGATGGCGCACCCTGTAGATTCAAGTAAGCTGTTTTAAAAATTGGATTTACATTAAACCAATAAACTAGTTATCGGCCACATATTAATAATAATAATAATATTTATTTACTCAATGTACAAAGATAACAAACAATATGAGTAAATAAATATAAAATCAAAACAGGCCCAATAGAAGGCATCGCCTGTACATGGACCAATAATTTAAGTTGAAACTGTAGAATGCAAATGACAAAAAAGGACAAAAATTAGCTACAGTAGATTATGTATTTAGTTGATGTTCGTATTTATGAGTTTATGAATTTCAGTCCTAGATATAGAACGTAGCCACTTTTTTAAATTTCTTTTGAAACAATTTCCGAAACGTAAATCTTTTAAGTCTTTAGGTATAATTTCATAAAATTTAGGCGCTAAATAGAGATATGATCGCTGCATTATAGATTGATGCGGTTGAGGAACTACTTTGCCACGAATTTTGTACCTGGTATAATGATTATGTTTAATTTTTTGGTCGGTGTTTACAAATTTATGGTAGTGAGTGATACTGTGTAAGAAATAAAGCTTGTCTTATATCATACATTCGAACATCTGCATATAATTTTTCAGTGGGATTTTCGGTTTTTTAAATATCATTTTTAGAATACTTTTTTGAAAAACATCTAAATTATAGATATGTGAGGAACATGCAGCTCCCCATGCTAATATACCATATGTGAGATGAGGCTCAATCAGTGCATGGTATAATGTTCGAAGATATTTTTCTGTCAATATATTCCCAAGGTATATAATTTTGTAAGATACAAATCTAACTTTCTTTAAAATAAATTGACATGGATGTCCCATCGTAAGTGAGGATCCAAGACCACTCCAAGGTATTTTATGTTGGGCACTCTATTAATTTGCATTTTTTGATCATTAATATTGAAGGAGAAGTTAGTGCTTAATTTTCTACTGTTAAACCACCGAATAATTTTGATAAAATCATTTTCAATTACATTTTTCAGATCAGACCAGTCAGTGCCTTCATGTAATATTGCAGTATCATCTGCAAAACTAGTTATTTTGCCAACACAATTAATTTGGAAAATATCATTTAAATATATATTGAATAACAGTGGACCTAAGACAGTTCCTTGTGGGACACCACACTTAATATACATTTCTTTACTAAATGATCCTGATATCTGCACAGATTGTGGGCGATTTGACAAATAACTTTCGATCAGTGAGTACGTGTTTCCTCTGAAACCAATTCTCTCCAATGCTTCTAATAATAATTTGTGATTAACTGTGTCGAAAGCTTTCTTTAAATCAACAAAAATGCAGATTGAAAGGATTCTGTTATCAATATTTTGATATATTTGATTTACAATTTTAGTTATTGCGTCCGATGTAGCCTTCCCTTCTGTAAAACCATATTGATTTTCACTTAAAATTTTGAATTTTGTGAGGTATCGAATCATTCTAGTAGATAAAACTTTTTCAAAAACCTTTGCTACACTGGATATTATTGATATCGGTCTATAGTTGTTAACATCTGTTTTTGTTCCTGATTTATGTATCGGTATTATATTACCTTTTTTAAAATTGAGGGATATATGCCAGATTCAAAGCATTTGTTGATTAGGTAAGTGAGTGGTTCTGTTATGTCATCGGCTATAATTTTCAAATGCTCGCTTTTAATACCATCGAACCCAGGACTTTTCCGATTTTTTAAGGACATAACAGTGGTGTATACTTCACATTGTTCGACTTTATCCAAAATAAATGAGTTCAAAGTTCTTTTTGGAGGCTGAGTATTTTGTACATTTGCTTGTATATTACTTGCTAAATTTTCGCCTATGTCAGTAAAGAATTGTACAAATTCATCGCATATCTGTTGAGTATTTTTTAATACTGTTCCCGATGTTGTATTTAACTCAGTGACACACTCTTTAAATTTTGTTTTTCCAGTAATCTCATCAATAGTTGTCCAAAGCCGCTTAGGATCATTTAAGTTATTATTCAATTTATTTAGGTAATGTTTTCGTTTGGTTTGCCTTGCAAGCTCTATAAATTTATTTTTATATTGGTTGTAACAGTCGGTATTCTCTGTAGTTGGCGTTAGTTTCATTACATTATATAGTCTTTCTTTTTCTATTGCCGATGTTATTAATCCTTTGCTAATCCAGGCATTTCTGCTTTTCTCTTTGTGACTAATTATTACTTTATTGGTACTAATATCTATTAGTTTTTTTATTTTCTCTATGAACAGTCCCGTTGCTTTGTCTATATTATTTATAGAGTATAATTGTTCCCAGGATAGTTAAATTATATGTTTGGCCTAAATAACATTTTAATTGGTTTAATTACTATTTTTTCCTAGTGTACAATCAGAATTATTGTCTTTTGGATACGCTATCGGCATAAAACCTACCCTCGATCGCGTTCCGTATCTCCTCTTCTTGCAACTCGATAGCCTGCAGTTTGTGATTGCCGTCCTTGAGTTCGTTGACTAGCCGGTCAGTTTTCTCGGCCACTTGAACCTCCAGCCTGGTCAACCGATATTCCAGTTCGGCATCGCAAGCCCTTCGCAACCCGACACGGCTACCGTTCCACATACCGGAATGCCGAGCTGAGTGTTGCTCGGGAGCGGCAGGTTCGTCGTGTTTTACCTAACAAAGGATGAACGGCAGGGTTATTGCGTAAAAAACCGATATACCTAATGTCGAATAGTCTCATCACGTTAGTCGAAAATACCCCTGGTTTGCGAAATAGTTGTAGGTTTGGTTTTATTGATGTAATTTGTTCAGGTGGGTAAAAAATGGATACTCCAATTTTTGTGAGAAAACTTCTTATTCGACAACAAAGAACGAAACAACGTGTTCTTAGCATTCAATCGAAAGTGTTGGCAGAAACGAAAAAACTCTTCAATTACAATTTTTACAGTAGCTGTATTATTATTATCATTATTATTGATTCTGCTAGAACAGCCTTACTCAACCTTTCACCAATTTTCAGTAATTACTTCCATTCCCCCCCATGACACAATAACAATGTGTGTATACAATAATAATGTACCTTGTGTATTTTGACGCTAAACTTACAGTACAACCTTAATTACAAATCCTACAACTTACCGAGAATAAGTAAATTTATAGATATTTGGCAACGTCGATCTGCTGCATTGGCAAATCCGGAATCAATGCCTCTCTTCGCGCGAAGTTCCGAGTTATTCCGAACGTTCTCGACCGTCTGCGCGAACGTGTATACACGCCGCATCTCGTCAATTCTGGTCAGTCTCAGTCGAGTCAGTCGTTCTGTCTGTGCTAAATCTATTGTGCATGCGTATGTTTTAATTTGCGTGTTAATTGCAGTTAACGGTAATAAAATGTATATATATATCTACATATAAAATACAATTAATTGTTAATCGGGAAATACATTTCTAATTGTTTATCCTGTTAATTGAAATATTTCACTCACGCAAGTAATATAAAACAAAATTAATATAAATTCAAACAACCCATATTTTCAAGCGTGTATCATTATCTTACATTCGTACACTCTTATGAACTACACTTGTTTCCAGAACCAATTTAATTCATCATTTTGGTAACTAGGATGAGGTTTTACCGAGCGTCCCTCGTATACATCATACCCAAATTTGACAATGATGTTTACAGTTCCACATTCCGTCGCGTCAATCACCTGTCATCTGTCGACGCATTATCTTTCCGTTGTTCCGTCCACCTTCTCCACGTGAAGCGGATGTAGGAGGTTAGAAACGACGTTCCGGTTTTTGTCCCCGAAATTGCTCCTCGTTAATTTTTAATATGTTCGGGTGTATTGATTTATAGTGTTAACACCTAACGATGGTATCCGTCGTTATCAATAAGCCCAATATGTCCGTCCGGTTGGTTTTATATTTGTAACAAGTTCTCTCTTCTCCGCGTTCGTTTTAAAACACCATTTGACTGCAACCTCAACGACGACTAAGTTGTTTGACAATTTAAATCTTTCCCGAATTGGTTGCTAGCATCATAATTGTGTTTTCAGCTCCTGATGAAGGCTCCATAGAGAATTGCCGAAAGCTAGAGGTTACCGTCAAAAGAGTTAACTAAAGCCTAAAAAGATTGCCAATTTCCCAATGAATAATTAATTGTATTTTTTGCCCAACATGTTGGCAATGGCAATGACTACTGCTCATATATATATATATATATATATATATATATATATATATATATATAACTTGAGACGTGGTCATTGTCGTCTAAACCAGTTAGGTGAAAAATTAAAGCTTCCGCCTTTTGTTGGGTACTTCGACAAAATTTAAGCAAAGAGGACTCTTTATACTTTTTTTAATTCTCTCTAGCTTTCAATGGACTTTGCCATCATCATCAGGAGCTGCAATTACAATGATAACAGTAGCAACAAAAGTGTAAAATGAATTTAAATTGAATCAACTTACAGTAGTATGTGAGGATGTTGCTAATTGTTGTTTTCGTATAGGATGAGGGAAACGTCCAGTAACATGGTGAGAGCTGGATACATGGTACAATGGTTAAAATTATATAAAATATGACAAGCCAAGTTAAAGACAGATTAAAAATTATTCAGAAAACATTAGAGCATTACGTCGTGAAGCCACTTGATGATTGCACAAAATGGTGGTCATGGAATAATGAGTGAGATGAACCTTCGACAGAAGGCCGAAGGTTGTCAATGTCTGTGTTGAAAGATGGAACGAATTGTGGGCGTGTGCCAAAACGTTGCCAAATCACTTCAGATGATGTGATTTTCAGAATGTCATGTAAGAAATTGTTAAACCGACCAGAGGCAGTTGAATAAACTATATTTTAATTAATGGGAATTTTAAATTAACAATTATTAATAAATCTAATAATTCTCTTCTCACGATTTATTAATAATTGTTAATTTAAAATTCCCATTAATTAAAATATAGTTTATTCAACTGCCTCTGGTCGGTTTAACAATTTCTTACATAACATTCTGAAAATCACATCATCTGAAGTGATTTGGCAACGTTTTGGCACACGCCCACAATTCGTTCCATCTTTTAACACAGACATTGACAACCTTCGGCCTTCTGTCAAAGGTTCATCTCACTCATTATTCCATGACCACCATTTTGTGCAATCATCAAGTGGCTTCACGACGTAATGCTCTAATGTTTTCTAAATAATTTTTAATCTGTCTTTAACTTGTCTTGTCATATTTTATATAATTTTAACCATTGTACCATGTATCCAGCTCTCACCATGTTACTGGACGTTTCCCTCATCCTATACGAAAACAACAATTAGCAACATCCTCACATACTACTGTAAGTTGATTCATTTAAATTCATTTTACACTTTTGTTGCTACTGTTATCATTGTAATTGCAGCTCCTGATGATGATGGCAAAGTCCATTGAAAGCTAGAGAGAATTAAAAAAAGTATAAAGAGTCCTCTTTGCTTAAATTTTGTCGAAGTACCCAACAAAAGGCGGAAGCTTTAATTTTTCACCTATATATATATATAGAGAGAGAGAGAGAGAAAATGATCATGCGGAGAAAATATATAACAAAAAGTAGGAAAACAATGGGCAAAATCCGCAAAAAGGATGATAATGGATTCGAGCAGAAAATAGGATAGGTAACCCGAGCGATACTTCGGCTGTTTGGCTTCATCAGGCCCGAAATGAAAATATGCTGCTGGAGAATTTGATTAAACGTCTTATTATGTACAATAAACAACTAATCGTTATATCAAATCTGTTTGCCACATTATGAATCGATGTTTCATGTCCTGGGAGCTACGAAAAGACGATTGTTTGCTCATGAGCATCAAGTTTCCCATTGCATCCAATTGCCTTTTTAAAGAACATGTGTTCGTGTTTAGTTGCGAGTCCCTATGGAAGGTTCCATGGACTCACTTCCAGAGGTAAAGAGTGTTAAATATACTTCGATTATGAAGCAGTAAAATTATCAATAAGTTCAAAATCGATGAAAATAGGAAATATCGAATTTTGTTAGCGGAAGTTTTTATTTTGATTCGAAAATATCAGTTATCAATATCAAGTTTGGCTGATACTTTATGGATGTTTAGGATTTTTATGTATTAAAAAATGCACTTCTGTTATGCGTGGGAACTTTCATGTGGTTCTCAACCAGTTCAAGCACACATCTGTCGAGCATAACTTACGATTTATACGTACAACGCATATGGTTCTAATTGTCCAACATAATCGCCACTCAGCATTATTATATTGTTTAATCAGATATAATGTCTTCGTAATCTATTTTTATGTACAGGGTGAGTTTATGGCGTGGGCTTAGTCCTAAACTCCGTTATTATGAATGCTATCTAAAAACAAACATTGTAGCCAACAGTGGGTTCCTCACATGGAGAATATTTTTATTTCTATTGGGTGATACATAACTACGTGGCGATCCAAACATACATTACAGGGCCATATTTCTACATTGCTCAGATATTTGTCAATTTATAAAAACAACTTTTTTCGTCAGAATAATTTTGTGATCCCAATTTTTCTTAATAACGGGTGATTTTTTAAGAGGTATAGGATTTGATTTTCAAAAAAAAAACACAAAAAATTTGAAAAAACGATTATTTGAGTCGATAGAACGGTTATATAATTTAATGTTTGAAGATTATTTCATGTAAATGTTGGCTGCGGCTCCGCTTTAGATGGCCCATGCGCAAGGTCCAATTTTGGCACACTCTCTCCAACATATCGGCCGGTATCTCACGAATAAATGCTTCAATATTGGCTTCCAGTGCGTCAATCGTTGCTGGTTTATCCCTGTAGACATTAGCCTTAACATGGCCCCACAAGAAATGGTCCAACGGCGTTAAATCACACGATCTAGGCGGCCAATTGACGGGCCTCAAACGTGAGACCAAACTGAACAAGTTTGACAATGACACAAGACACGATTCACGCGTCATCTGTCAAAAACAGTGTTGCCAAAAAGATACTAGCAAAAAAATCACCCATTATAATGATAATAATAACTTTAATTCAAATTGCTTTGAGTATATGAAACCGGAATTCAGATTTGCATAATCAAAAGAAAAATATACATAACTAAATTAGAATAAAACAGGTGATAACAAGTTATAAAATAAGTAGCAAAACAGTATGTTTAGATGTGTAAATAGAATAATAGAACAAAGTATGCAGCATAAATGTATAATAAGTAAAGTAATCAATAAATAAGATAAATATGTAATGATTAAAAATTATAAATCTCTTGCAGAGAGTAAAAACACTTAGAGTACAAGTATGTTAAAATAGGTTTTTTGAATCCTTTTAAGTCGTTGGTGGCTCTTAACTCGGAGGGCAAATTATTGAAGATAGATCCACATGTTGTTGAATGTAATGTTGTTATTATCTGTATGTTGTATTTCTCAGACTGTTTTAGGTAAGTGCATTAGGATGGATACGATTTCACATGAAGGCACGTCACGATTTTTTTCATCTCTAAACGTTTTTCGACAAGACTCCAGAGGATGCAATGGGAATAAGAGTCTGACTATTCCTTTTTGAAGGATAAAGATTCGTTGGGCCTGATGATCCCCAATATAGCACATTTGAGGTGGAAATGCACAATAGAGTAATAGATGTTTAATAGGTGTTTTTGATTCATTACGTATTTTAAGTTTCGTAGAGCAAAAAATGCTAGATTAGTTTTTTCCTATGTTTGTCTTTCCAGCTAAAATGTTCATCTACTATTGTACCTAAAAATGTTATGTTTGGTACTGTTTCCAGTGACTTATTGTTTATTGTAACTGTGATGTTGTTCTGTGGCCTTCGTTTATGATACAGAATATATTTGGTTCAATCTGTATTATTTATTAATCTATTGAAAACTCTTCATTATGTTGATAGCCTTACTTTCTAGATCATCTAGCGACTTTGCTGATAATATTACAGTTGTTTCATCAGCGAAGGTAACCCAAAAATAATCATTTTTATGATATAATGTACACTTGCTGTTTCAATTTTTTCGATAGGCTGTACAATAATGCAAAATGAACGATTTCTCAAATTTTTCAAATGGAACACCCTGTATATTTTCACACTTCTTGATTGCCCTTTTTACAAACCTTTTTCGATGTGGTTTTAGGGTATTTGTAAGAATGGTTTTTGAGTTATAGTTAAGCTTTTTGTAAATAGGATATCAAGATAAATGAAAAATATTACAATATCTTTCAAAATAAAAATATTATTTAGTTAGTAAAATGTGCGTATTTTGATTATAAATTAAATCTACCCTTATGCAATGATGTTGGGGAGTCAAGGAGGTGTTTTTAGTAGCTCAAAATCCAGTTGTACGAACCCCCATGAACCTGAAAAGAGGAATCAAAAAGTGTAACAATATACGTGGTGCTCCATTTGAAAATTTTGAAAAATCGTACTTTGGTTTTCTGGTACTGAGAAACTGGAAATTTTCAAATATACTCTAGATAATATTACAGTTGTTTCATCAGCGAAGGTAACCCAAAAATAATCATTTTTATGATATAATATACACTTACTGTTTCAATTTTTTCGATAGACTGTATTATAATACAAAATTGAACGATTTCTCAAATTTTTCAAATGGAACACCCTGTATATTTTCACACTTCTTGATTGCCATTTTTACAAGCCTTTTTCGATGTGGTTTTAGGGTATTTGTAAGAATGGTTTTTGAGTTATAGTTAAGCTTTTTGTAAATCGGATATCAAGATAAATGAAAAATATTACAATATCTTTCAAATAAAAATACTATTTAGTTAGTAACATGTGTGTATTTTGATTATAAATTAAATCTACCCTTATGCAATCAAGTTGGAGACTCAAGGAGGTGTTTTTAGTAGCTCAAAAACCAGTTGTACGAACTAGCACGAACATGAAAAGGGGAATCAAAAAGTGTAATAGTATACGTGGTGCTCCATTTGAAAATTTTGAAAAATCGTACTTTGGTTTTCTGGTACTGAGAAACTCGAAATTTTCAAATATACTCTAGATAATATTACAGTTGTTTCATCAGCGAAGGTAACCCAAAAATAATCATTTTTATGATATAATATACACGTACTGTTTCAATTTTTTCGATAGACTGTATTATAATACAAAATTGAACGATTCCTCAAATTTTTCAAATGGAACACCCTGTATATTTTCACACTTTTTGATTGCCCTTTTTACAAGCCTTTCTCGATGTGGTTTTAGGGTATTTGTAAGAATGGTTTTTGAGTTATAGTTAAGCTTTTTGTAAATCGGATATCAAGATAAATGAAAAATATTACAATATCTTTCAAAATAAAAATACTATTTAGTTAGTAAAATGTGCGTATTTTAATTATAAATTAAATCTACCCTTATGCAATGAAGTTGGGGAGTCAATGAGGTGTTTTTAGTAGCTCAAAAACCAGTTGTACGAACCTGAAAAGGGGAATCAAATAGTGTAATAATATACGTGGTGCTCCATTTGAAAATTTTGAAAAATCGTACTTTGGTTTTCTGGTACTGAGAAACTGGAAATTTTCAAATATACTCTAGATAATATTACAGTTGTTTCATCAGCGAAGGTAACCCAAAAATAATCATTTTTATGGTATAATATACACTTACTGTTTCAATTTTTTCGATAGACTGTATTATAATACAAAATTGAACGATTTCTCAAATTTTTCAAATGGAACACCCTGTATATTTTCACACTTCTTGATTGCCCTTTAATACAAGCCTTTTTCGATGTGGTTTTAGGATATTTGTAAGAATGGTTTTTGAGTTATAGTTAAGCTTTTTGTAAATCGGATATCAAGATAAACGAAAAATATTACAATATCTTTCAAAATAAAAATATTATTTAGTTAGTAAAATGTGCATATTTTAATTATAAATTAAATCTACCCTTATGCAATGAAGTTGGGGAGTCAATCAGGTGTTTTTAGTAGCTCAAAAACCAGTTGTACGAACCTGAAAAGGGGAATCAAATAGTGTAATAATATACGTGGTTTTCTGGTAATGAGAAACTGGAAATTTTCAAATATACTTTAGAACGCCATTTAACAAAATTATTAAGCCAATAATCCTACTATAATAATATTGTGTACACAAAATATAATTGCTTACTTATTCAAGCTCGTTTTATTATACCAGTCGGTTTAATTACAGTTCAATCAGTTTTAACACTAGGTTTGAAAATGTTTGCGTTAGGTTGTTCAATTTGTTTTCGCTAACACATTCTCCAACATCTCCAAAGCTATTGAAATTTAGTCGAAGTAATTTATACTAAGTGACATATAAATCCGAACACCCAGTTTAAATGGTTTTATTTTAATAAAAGTTGATGAATCTATTTATCTTACTGTAAATAACAAGTGAAAAAATTTTCAGCCTTATCAATTGGACATTCCTGTTTTTATACTGCTTTTTTTTAATTCACTAACGCTCTAAAAATGAATATTTCAGCTGCAGTAAAGAATCAACGTTGGCGGATTTTGGTTCTTGACATCCTTTACGATCGGTTACGATGCCTAGAGTACGGAGACCTGTACGATTTCGTCAACTTAGTGAGTTTGATAGGGGCCGTATAGTGGGACTTCGGGAAGCTGGACCTTCTTTTCGAGCAATTGCAGTTAGAGTGCAAAGAAGTGTAGACACTGTGGTTAGGTGTTGTCAGGCATGGCTTCGAGAAGGCCGTACGCAAAGAGCAAGGGGCACTGGACGCCGCCGTAGAACAACAGACCGTGAAGATCGCCGCCTAAGATTATTGACCTTAAGGGACCGTTTCTCCACTACCAGGTCCATTGCAAATGAATGGTTTGCAGAAAACGGAAGACCTATTGGCATGCGAAGTGTTTACCGACGAATGAGAAGTTTTGGCTTGTTTTCATACCGGCCACACTGGGTCCTCCCTTTAACTCGAGAACACCGACGCAATCGCCTTGAGTGGTGCAGACAACGGTCACTCTGGGATCAGGAATGGAACAGTATTGTCTGTAGTGACGAGTCTCGATTTTGTTTAGGCATGCACGATGGTGGTGCCAGGGTTAGAAGGCGACGTGGTGAAAGGAGGAATCCACAGTTTTTGTTGAAAGACATGTTCATCACACTGTTGGAGTTATGGTTTGGGGTGCTATAGCTTATGGTTCCAGGTCATCTTTATTCTTCATCAGAGGTAACATGAACGCGCAGCGTTATATCCACGAAGTTCTAGAACCCCATCTTTTACCCTATCTTGACACCCTGGCAGATCCAACTTTCCAACAAGATAATGCCCGACCACATGTTGCAAGAGTCACAATAGACTTCTTTCAACATAATGATGTCACATTGTTACCATGGCCACCAAGATCTCCCGACTTATCCCCAATTGAGCACGTGTGGGATATGATGGGTAGGAGATTGCTCAATTTGCAACGTCCTCCTCAGACTCTAGAAGCACTTCGAGAGGAGTTGGTGGTTGCCTGGAATGAGATACCACAGGAGGACATTGACCACCTGATCAGAAGCATGCCTAGGCGCGTTGGAGAATGCGTAGCACATCAGGGTGCATCCATACATTATTAAAGGTCAAAGGGCTTTAAAACAGTGCAATCGTTTTGAAATTTTTATCATTTACTTATTATGCTTCATTAAGTACTTATACAAATTTTATTAAAATAAAACTATTTAAACTGTGGGATTTATATGTCACTTAGTATATAATTGCTTACTTATTGAAGCTCGTTTTATTATACCAGTCGGTTTAATTACAATTCAATCAGTTTTAATACTAGGTTTGCGTTAGGTTGTTCAATTTGTTTTTCGCTAACACATTCACCAACATCTCCAAAGCTATTGAAATTTAGTTGAAGTAATTTATTAGTACCTATACCATAACACATTACCAATAAGTAAAGCACAATCCATGTAAGGATGTTTGTCTTTTTAAATACACACAATGTTTCATGTTTCATGAAGGTCTTGTCCTCGACACTATCAGAAATTGTCATAGTAACTGTTTAACACTTGTAACAGTTTACGATATGACATAATTTATAACCTTTTTATTACGTATTGTTTCATAGGCCATCGTTACGTGTTCCATTGAACCAGATATACGAAGATTTTATGAATGAGGTATTTTTGCATTCATATTCTATAGGTAAAATAGATTCCTTATATTGATTTTACTTCCCACGCGTACTGCTGAGAAAACAGTTCGAGAATGGATACTATGTTTTTTGGATGTTATATGACGTGTACGGGTGGTCAACTAAGAATGCGGCAAAAAACAGTGATGTTTTTGTGAACTGCTATATTAACCTAATCAAAAAATTCAAGGATATGTTTGCAACAATTGCTGTATCTCTAAAAATAAAGTGGTGGGTGATATTCAAAGGTTTCCGTAAGAAGCACCCTGTATCTTTGAAACCACTGTGCCGATTTTAACAAACTTGCGCTAGTTGAAAATATCTATTCTTAGGCTACAAATGTTATAATTTTTGTTACTTTCACATGTGACCGCAAGAGGGCTTTTTTGAAATTCCGACAGAAAATTATCGAAAAAAAAGCATCAACCATTTTTTATCAATTATTGGAAGAGTTCTATTTTAGACACACCCTAAAAATAGGTATTACTTACCCTACGCAATTGTCCATATGAAACTTGTACTACGAACACTAGAACCTTAAAAAATAACACATGCTTCGATGAGATAGGCATTTCTAATTAAGCACAGCTTAAATCGTTCGCTAGAAGCGATCTTTATGAGATTATATTTGGCTGTAGTAACATGCCGGTGGTATACAGGCAGGCAACTGCTTCATGTCTGTCGTATAATCATTACGGTGAAGCAGAATGTTTGTTTATAAAAATTATGGATTCGAACATCGCGTCATCGCGGTTCCGACTATTACAGGGAGATCTGTAATAATTGCGAATATATAGATTTAACTCGTAAAAGTTAAAATATGGTGCCTGGAATTGTCCTTTGCATAAAAATTCATTATAGATAAACGTGAAAGCAACAAACCGGCCTCAAAAAATTTCGAAGTTCCACCCTGTACCATTTTATTTTATTGCAAGCAATAGCCAGTTCACATCTGTCAAAACACAAACATAGTTTCGGAACTGGAGGATCATCAATTAAGAGAACTAACCAATCCGTGACGTTCATATATGATAAATTAATGCAATCGCCTCGGTTGTTGTTCGTAATTAACTTTTTTCTTAGAGAGTCTAACTTAAACATGCTGCTTTCGTCGGTCCAACCAAAGACAACCAATCACAGACAGCTGTTTCGTGCTTTTTGGCAACTCATCAGCAAGATCTTGGCTTGGTTTTCATGGGACAATGGACAGAGCATAGCATAACAACTATCCTCTATCCAGGATATAAGGTGTATGGAGCGGTCTTACTTCGATAAGGTCTAACTTGAGCTGAACATAATCCTTAATAAACTGACAATCTATCAATTTTTGAACATAATTGGAAAAAATCTCATCAGACAGACTGTTTCACGATCTCGGCAGCCTAGTGATGAAGGACCGGCGTGTTCGACAGACTTGGAATAGGATGCATAAGCCTGACTAGTCCGTTTAGCAAGGTAAAAGCGCGGCGCATTAAGGAGGAGGGCTCTGCCGAACAAAGCCGGTTGACCGGTCACCCATCGGCGCGAAAGGGTCTCGAAACTGTCCATTTGAAGCATTTACTGATCACGATGGATGCTATGGGGTTCGCCAAACCCATGGTGACCTTGAAAATTACTTTGATGTTCAAGGACAGATCGGTTTTCTTAAATGGGACTATATTTTTAACCCCGGAAAACGACATAAGCGGAAACTCTAAGTTTGGATATGTCATTGACCATGATCTAGACTTTGGGACTCATATTAAGGTCAAAGCGATTTACGGCAATGAGAGCGAATAGTTTTGACCCTGGAAAGTGAAAGGAAAAATTTCAAGTTTGGATATGCAATCGAAGGTTATTTCAGAAATCATAAAATAGAACCATTTTTAATTTGTACATTACCTTGACGTAGATCTAGACTTCGGATTCGGAAATTTGCAACTTCTGACTCCGGTTTTCTATGGTACGACCCGTAAACCCCTGAGTATATATTTTTCATGTGATCATGTGGATTCACGTAAGGACCATCCTGTAGAAGTACCGTAAAGAACGTAAGATTTTTGATAGTAAAAACCGATGATATGGTCCTGGGATGATATAATAAAAAATCGGCATTACATTGGAAGCATTATGTTTCAAAACAGGTAAATTGCGTGCTTGAACAAATCGAGAAATTAGAAATTATTAATCGGAAATCGGAGATCTGAAATCGTGAAGCGTAAATCGCAAATCGCAAATCGTAAACCGTAAATCGTAAATCGTAAATCGTAAATCGTAAATCGTAAATCGTAAATCGTAAATCGTAAATCGTAAATCGTAAATCGTAAACCGTAAATCGTAAATCGTAAATCGTAAATCGTAAATCGTAAATCGTAAATCGTAAATCGTAAATCGTAAATCGTAAATCGTAAATCGTAAATCGTAAATCGCAAATCGCAAATCGCAAATCGTACATCGTACATCGTACATCGTAAATCGTAAATCGTAAATCGTAAATCGTAAATCGTAAATCGTAAATCGCAAATCGCAAATAGCAAATAGCAAATCGCAAATAGCAAATCGTAAATCGTAAATGGTAAATCGCAAATCGTAAATCGTAAATCGTAAATCGCAAATTGCAAATCGCAAATCGCAAATCGTAAATCGTGCATCGTGCATCGTACATCGTAAATCGTAAATCGTAAATCGTAAATCGTAAACCGTAAATCGTAAACCGTATAGCGTATATCGTATATCGTAAATCGTAAATCGTAAATCGTAAATCGTAAATCGTAAATCGTAAATCGTAAATCGTAAATCGTAAATCGTAAATCGCAAATCGCAAATCGTAAATCGTAAATCGTAAATCGTAAATCGTAAATCGTAAATCGTAAATCGTAAACCGTAAACCGTATATCGTATATCGTATATCGTATATCGTAAATCGTAAATCGTAAATCGTAAGTCGTAAATCGTAAATCGCAAATCGCAAATCGCAAATCGTACATCGTACATCGTACATCGTACATCGTAAATCGTAAATCGTAAATCGTAAATCGTAAATCGTAAATCGTAAATCGTAAATCGTAAATCGTAAATCGTAAATCGTAAACCGTAAACCGAAAACCGTATATCGTATATCGTATATCGTATATCGTAAATCGTAAATCGTAAATCGTAAATCGTAAATCGTAAATCGTAAATCGTAAATCGTAAATCGTAAATCGTAAATCGCAAATCGCAAATCGCAAATCGCAAATCGTACATCGTAAATCGTAAATCGTAAATCGTAAATCGTAAATCGTAAATCGTAAATCGCAAATCGCAAATAGCAAATCGTAAATCGTAAGTCGTAAATCGTAAATGGTGAATCGCAAATCGTACATCGTACATCGTAAATCGTAAATCGTAAATCGTAAATCGTAAATCGCAAATCGCAAATAGCAAATCGTAAATCGTAAGTCGTAAATCGTAAATGGTGAATCGCAAATCGTACATCGTACATCGTAAATCGTAAATCGTAAATCGTAAATCGTAAATCGTAAATCGTAAATCGCAAATCGCAAATAGCAAATCGTAAATCGTAAGTCGTAAATCGTAAATGGTGAATCGCAAATCGTACATCGTACATCGTAAACCGTAAACCGTATATCGTATATCGTATATCGTATATCGTATATCGTAAATCGTAAATCGTAAATCGTAAGTCGTAAATCGTAAATCGCAAATCGCAAATCGCAAATCGTACATCGTACATCGTACATCGTACATCGTAAATCGTAAATCGTAAATCGTAAATCGTAAATCGTAAATCGTAAATCGTAAATCGTAAATCGTAAATCGTAAATCGTAAATCGTAAATCGTAAACCGAAAACCGTATATCGTATATCGTATATCGTATATCGTATATCGTATATCGTATATCGTAAATCGTAAATCGTAAATCGTAAATCGTAAATCGTAAATCGTAAATCGTAAATCGTAAATCGTAAATCGTAAATCGCAAATCGCAAATCGCAAATCGCAAATCGTACATCGTAAATCGTAAATCGTAAATCGTAAATCGTAAATCGTAAATCGTAAATCGTAAATCGTAAATCGTAAATCGTAAATCGCAAATCGCAAATAGCAAATAGCAAATCGCAAATAGCAAATCGTAAATCGTAAATGGTAAATCGCAAATCGTAAATCGTAAATCGTAAATCGCAAATTGCAAATCGCAAATCGCAAATCGTAAATCGTGCCTCGTGCATCGTACATCGTAAATCGTAAATCGTAAATCGTAAATCGTAAACCGTAAATCGTAAACCGTATAGCGTATATCGTATATCGTAAATCGTAAATCGTAAATCGTAAATCGTAAATCGTAAATCGTAAATCGTAAATCGTAAATCGTAAATCGTAAATCGCAAATCGCAAATCGTAAATCGTAAATCGTAAATCGTAAATCGTAAATCGTAAATCGTAAACCGTAAACCGTATATCGTATATCGTATATCGTATATCGTATATCGTAAATCGTAAATCGTAAATCGTAAGTCGTAAATCGTAAATCGCAAATCGCAAATCGCAAATCGTACATCGTACATCGTACATCGTACATCGTAAATCGTAAATCGTAAATCGTAAATCGTAAATCGTAAATCGTAAATCGTAAATCGTAAATCGTAAATCGTAAATCGTAAACCGTAAACCGAAAACCGTATATCGTATATCGTATATCGTATATCGTATATCGTATATCGTAAATCGTAAATCGTAAATCGTAAATCGTAAATCGTAAATCGTAAATCGTAAATCGTAAATCGTAAATCGTAAATCGTAAATCGCAAATCGCAAATCGCAAATCGCAAATCGTACATCGTAAATCGTAAATCGTAAATCGTAAATCGTAAATCGTAAATCGTAAATCGCAAATCGCAAATAGCAAATCGTAAATCGTAAGTCGTAAATCGTAAATGGTGAATCGCAAATCGTACATCGTACATCGTAAATCGTAAATCGTAAATCGTAAATCGTAAATCGCAAATCGCAAATAGCAAATCGTAAATCGTAAGTCGTAAATCGTAAATGGTGAATCGCAAATCGTACATCGTACATCGTAAACCGTAAACCGTATATCGTATATCGTATATCGTAAATCGTAAATCGTAAATCGTAAGTCGTAAATCGTAAATCGCAAATCGCAAATCGCAAATCGTACATCGTACATCGTACATCGTACATCGTAAATCGTAAATCGTAAATCGTAAATCGTAAATCGTAAATCGTAAATCGTAAATCGTAAATCGTAAATCGTAAATCGTAAACCGAAAACCGTATATCGTATATCGTATATCGTATATCGTATATCGTATATCGTAAATCGTAAATCGTAAATCGTAAATCGTAAATCGTAAATCGTAAATCGTAAATCGTAAATCGTAAATCGTAAATCGCAAATCGCAAATCGCAAATCGCAAATCGTACATCGTAAATCGTAAATCGTAAATCGTAAATCGTAAATCGTAAATCGTAAATCGTAAATCGCAAATCGCAAATAGCAAATCGTAAATCGTAAGTCGTAAATCGTAAATGGTGAATCGCAAATCGTACATCGTACATCGTAAATCGTAAATCGTAAATCGTAAATCGTAAACCGTAAACCGTATATCGTATATCGTATATCGTATATCGTATATCGTAAATCGTAAGTCGTAAGTCGTAAATCGTAAATCGTAAATCGTAAATCGTAAATCGTAAATCGTAAATCGTATATCGTAAATCGTAAATCGTAAATCGTAAATCGTAAATCGTAAATCGTAAATCGTAAATCGTAAATCGTAAATCGTAAATCGTAAATCGTAAATCGTAAATCGTAAATCGTAAATCGTAAATCGTAAATCGTAAATCGTAAATCGTAAATCGTAAATCGTAAATCGTAAATCGTAAATCGTAAATCGCAAATCGCAAATCGCAAATCGCAAATCGCAAATCGCAAATCGTAAATCGTAAATCGTAAGTCGTAAATCGTAAATCGTAAATCGTAAATCGTAAATCGTAAATCGTAAATCGCAAATCGCAAATCGCAAATCGTAAATCGTAAATCGCCATAGTCAAGGACATACACAAACATAGAAACTTCTCTTCTTTAGAATTCTGGGGTTAAAAGTATAGGGCCCATTTTCAGAAAATCGGGTTGACCTGGTCAAGGTCATATTTAAACTTCTTGCGGCTGGACATTCGGGGTCAAAGGTATAAGGGTCTCATTTAAGAAAATCAATTTGAGCTGTCAATGACAAGTTCAAGGATATATCCAAGCTTGTAGTTGGCTTCTTATTCAATTTCCGGTTTTAAAAATATAGGATCCCATTTAAGAAAATCAATCTGACTTTAAAATTGCCTTCAAGGTCAAAGCAAAGGTGATTGTGAAGATCACCGTTAGATTGCATAAGTAAAATCCTAGAGCTTTTGTCCTAGTAATTTTTTTCTCCGGTTAATATTTTCTGAGATAGGGAGGGGATTCGGAAACTTTCTGAACACCCTGTATATTTGAATGTATCATTCTATGGAAGTATCAATTTATTAAGGATGTCTATCATCCTCGACTAAACAATGCGTTAATCAGCAAAAAATGAACAGTCACGACCTTATACAAGAATTTCTTGAAAATGAACATCTGTTCACGATGCCAAGATATTGAAATATGCAATTAAAATATACATTAGTCATAATGTCTGCGAAACATCTTGATTTAGGAATAATAATCTTGTTGCAAGTAACGTAAACAACAAATCGCTATTGCTAAAGCCCTCAACGTTATCTAGATAATGCTTTTTTTTGGTGCATATAGAAGATTCTCTTGAGCATATACTGAAGAGAAAATATAGCATGACAGCCATTTACATGGTACATCTCACTTAAAAGTTTAAAATATCTCAAACCGTAAAAATCCTTATTTAGTAGATCATCAGTTTTATGAAAAGCGTTTTGGATCATACAATTTCGAAGACCAATTTTAAAATCACTCAAAAACAGTGATTTTATATTTTTTGGAAAATTTACGAGGGCTGTTTCAAAAATGTGGTTCCCACATTTTTTTCAGGCTCAAGGAATTTTTTTTATTTG